GTGTGATTCATTACTCTTACAGGGTATTTCACGCTCCTCTTAGACAAAACTTTCTTTTTTCCAGGGTCATCAGCTAAGTTAGATTCATCGTAATTCACGATGTTAGATAAAGGTACATCTTAGGAATTTTGAAGTTCCCTAAAATAATATTTCTTAATTTGTGGCGATACTGCAGCCCTAGATCTTTTGATATCTGGCTTATTCTTTCTGAAATTTCTTTGTTGTAACGCTTTAAGAAACTTTCTACATAATCCACACCAGGTAAGTTATTATTAAACTTTTTTGATTTCTATTCCGATTCTATCTAGATATCCCTTTATTATTATCCGTGGATGCCCCCACCCAGAACAGATGTTAATATATTTTTTTATTAATTTATCTGCTTCTTCACTTAGAGCTCTTTGTCCACCTTGATTTTTCATTTTTCTTGTTACATGTCTGCAAAACAGACTTTATATTAAATTGCTTAGCTATTTCAACTAGATATTTATTCCTAGTTTCATAGGTTTCTATTGCATTTTTAATATTAAAGGATCATATCTTTTATAAAGCTTTGAACTTTTTGAGATATACAAGCAAGACATCTGGAAAAAAACCACAATGCATCAATTTATTCAAATATTTGCCATTCAATAAATCGACACTAAAATGACAACTAATATATTTAGGGCTTCTAATACTTGCTTATTTATGAAATAAAAGATCTAAACAAAAACATCGTGTAATAAACCGCCAATTATTGCTTTAAAAAAAAACGCTTATTGACAACCCTATAAAGTTGTATATATTTATACACTAGTCGTTCCTATTCAACCCAAAACAACAGATTTTTGATGCCTTTCTAATTTATCAATAAATATTAAAATTAATCAACAACTGGGACTTACTTTTATGTATAATATGATGGCCCAAACACTTAATAAAGTATTTAACACACACTTGTCTTTTCTAACTACAAAATAAATTTTAGAGAGCAAAGTTTCTAACACTGTAATATTTGAGCGTCACGAGAGGATATTTTCAAATGACGTTATTGACAACTTGCAGATAATATCATTCTTATTCAGTGTTGCCTAGAGAACTTTAAAAGATGTACTATTTTTTCACAAAAAATTGTAGAAGTTTTTAACAAATTGGTAAATATTATTGCCCAACGAATACATTTCCTTGTTTTAACCCTATTCACCCATTGATCCCTATACGGGGTGTATTTTACGGTATGCAATCAAAGTTCGAAACAACCCAAATACACAAAATCTAATAAAACACAGTAACGTACGTACGAGCGAGCACAAGAGTAGACGATAACGTCTGACGACTCTGACGATGACAAAGAAAAAAAGCTGTTTCTAGAGAGAGACACGTAGGTCTTGCACCACTTTTACCCTATCTCATTTTTTACCTAAATTGTGCTCGAAATAAAATTATACTTGCGAGTAAAATTTAATGGAAATACGTTATTTTAAATCTTTTTATCCAATATTCATAATTATTTATCATACACATAAAAATGTGACGTCATTTCAAAATTACACGAAATAAATTTCACTATTTTCGACTGTATCAACTTTAAACTCCCGTTTTCGCACAAAATGCCCTATAAAGTACCAACTTTTGTGTTATTTTGAGAGTTAAGGAATCCATTAAGTTTTTAAAATTAGCAGGAAGTTATTCAGTGAGCGTTAAGTTTTTTTTTTTCAAATTAAATCAAATAAAAATTTCTCTCAAACAGAATACTAACGAAAAAATCTCTAATAATTACTTTACAGAAAAAGTTACAGCTAAAACCGTCCAAAATAAAAATAAAACAAAAAAAATCATATCGCGAAAACTACAAAATATCTCGGAACATACATGGAGGGGTCCAATCGATAGGTTATTGGTATCCCCAGACCACACACCTTTGCTGGTACAGGTTTCCAGGGACACCTGTATAATCAAGTTAATAAGTATTATGTAATCGACCTATGTATGGCATGTCCAGAATCAAAATCACAAAACATTTGGTGCTAGAAATTGTAGTATATAGTTAGTTAAATAGTTATATTAGTTGTTTAAATACATTGTTCTTTAAGGTATAGATTTTTAAGTGGCAACGTAACATCTTTACTTAATTTGTAAACATTTATTTTCTGCTATAGTGTTCCGTGGCGTAGTGGCTTAGCAATGAGTTGCTGCACTGATTCGAATCCCGCACGGAACAAGTGTTTGTATGGCCTACAGGTAATTGTTTCGGGTCTGGATGTTTGCCCTTGTACAATTTATGTTTGTAAACTGCCCCCACAATACAGGATAAAATGCTAGTGTGGAGGTAACGTTTTTTAAAAAATATATCTAATTTACAGTTTTATTATATTTAATAAACCTTAATATGTGTATGTTTAAAATTAATAGGTTTTCTTAATTAGAAACAATTGACAAAAATGTATAATAATATATCTTTCGGTCTTTGTGTTTTCATAATACATTGTTTACATGTTGCATGTGGGCTTTGCAGGTGAAGGTTTAACAGCGCTTTCAATTTTCCGCCATATACTAATATTACATCATTCATATTGTGTACTTTTCTTCATTGTAGGCTTTGGAATCAAAGTTAGCGTCGTGTCGTGGTACAGTTAGACCAAAAGAGCGTTCACCAAATCCCGGCTCAGACGTCAATAAGGACTACAGATGTGTACTCAAGAACTAAGAATAGCCCAATACCATTCCGTCGACAATTCACTGCGACTAGCACGAGTGTTAACTATTGTAGTATTGATACTCATTATTCTTATAACGGCTTCTTCACGTACACATGATGTTCTTAAAACGATACAAGTATGTTGTGATCAGTATCATATTTTCCTAATTGATTAAAATCTGTGATGATAATAAAGTAATTAAGGAAATGTTTTTGGCCTATACCCACCGGAAATTTGCAGTGAGTTGTGGCAAATAATTTGAGCTTGCTTCATACACACTGTTTTATTCACCGGAATCCCAATGATATATTATGTAAAGATACATCAAGTCCCAATCATCATTGGGATTCCAAACCGGAATCCCAATGATATATTATGTAAAGATACATCAAGTCTAAATTTTGTGGCTAACGCATAATCACCCTATCAATAAACAAGCATGATTACGACACCCATGAAATGAGTGTTTAAGGCTCGCATTAATTGTTTTTTTTTACTATATATGTATATATTTTTTAAGTGAAAACAAATATTTTGGAAAAATAACTTTATGTAAATATCAAATGTAAAGGTATTGTGTATTAAACTGTTGAAATTACAAATTTTTATGAACTTGGATAATAGCTTTTTTCATTCAATAATTTACCATTTAATGTGTAAGTATTTATATTTATATAATAATATGAAATTAAATTCGCTTATACAATATTTATTATTACTTAGATAAAAGAAAGAGGTGTTAATTTGCTGGAATCCACATTAAATATGTAAATGACAACAATAATTCGCTAAGCCCTGTATGTTAAGATTAAGTAGTTGCCTACGGTTTTAATAGTTTTTAGTTATGAGTAAAAAGCTATCTACAGCAACATTCACGTCTTTGCGCGTATTTTGCGTGTGGCTCTTCGACAAAATATAGCATACCCTTGACGTTACTCGGCGCGCCGAAATATTTAGATACAAACCATCAGTACATGGACCGCCGCGCCGTTTCTTTACCCCTCTTGCACCCTCTGTACTGGGAACCATCCGAATCAACTACGTATGCAGTATATATAAACTTTTTCTACTTAATTACTAGAAGATTGTAAGTCAATATGGATAACGAGGCATTAGCAACTCGTGAAAATATAGCACTACTTAATTTTGCAAAGGTCTTTAGCAAATTATTTGTTAATTTTCATCCATTTTTTTATAATTAGACAAATTGTTGTTTTATTGCTGTGTGATAGTTTAGTCACCATATGGAGCCAATGGTTTACTGATTATTTTTTCTAGTCGGTATTTGTGTTGTTTTATACAGTGTGACTAACATTTACTCATAATAAACAATTTAATAAATGAGATGTCCATGCTACAAAATACAAGTAATATGTCGCAATGTTTACGTATTATGAATATTTTGTCTGAGTGAACTTTTGGGCATGCCTTACTAACACTAATAAATGTTGGATTATTGTCTACATTCCTGTCTAATTTTTCTTACATTGTTTCACCTAATATGTTCACAGATGTATGAGAGTCAGTGAGTGAGATATTAACATGAATTGAAATCTTGCCTATGATGATTATAATGTACTCACTTAATCACATGATGTGTTTAGTGTAATACCTAGTAAATAACGAAAGTTCAAACGTAAGCTTAAAATTTAAAATAATACTACAAGTTTGTAGTTAAAAAGCTTCGTATTAAGTGTGTCAAATATCTTTACGACTTTTCACACAAACAATTAAGGAAATTCGAAATGAGTATACTGAAAAACATTAATTGCTACAAAAAGAGAGTATTATTTTCATTATTAACACAATTCGATTTATTTTAGATTTTCCGATGAATAGAAAAATATTGTATATATTATAATTATATTTTGCGAGTGTTTATATGTTAGGCAGATCACTATTTTTCTGTAAAAGGTCATGTCATAATAAGTTCTAACACTGCATCACAGAGCTAAGACATGTCAAGTCTTTTTTTATGTTTAGCTATAAATGGGCTTCGAGATATAATTTTTAGAAAAAAGTCTAGGTCTCAGTTATGTAGTGTATATTACGTGAAATATTGGTGATTCGCTTTACAAATTAATTAGTTAGTATTATAACTAAGGTAATTATAAGTTGGTCTTTCATTAATTTTATTTAAGAAAAATTAATTGCCCAGTCTGTTGCATATAGTTTAAGTAACTAAGCATTTATACACACGTGTGGTGACCAGACAATTTTTGTGCGCAATAATATATATAATAAAATAAGTTGAAGCATACAATTATGTTTTATTGAATGTCATTGTGTATGAAATATCAACAATACAGAAAATCGGTATTAAATAATTTGTTTCCCAGTTACAATATTTGATAGCATATTGCTCCATTCAATATGCTTTGATTCATCCACAGGAGGCCGAAAGTGTGTTATCAAATCTCGTATGGATTTGTTAAATAATTTTAATCTAAGTAATAAAACAGAAGTCTGTGCATTTTTTACCTCTTCAATTAATACATTTCCTGTAACGTAAAAAATTAAAGTTATTATTCCAATTAACCTTACATAAAAGATTCGGCTGAAACAAATTGCTTACCCAAAAAGCCCCTGTAAATTTTGTTCAATTATTATATATTTTGTACAAATTTTATCAAAAAACATTACACATTCTCAAACCAAAATTACTGAATCCTAGTCATTTAATTAACCTATAATTAAAATTTTCACAATTCTCTACCCTATTCAATTCAATGTATATTGTTAATTATCAACCCGTAACAGTCAACAGTTTGAGATGAGCCTCTTCTATTGTATGCGCTGCCTGATATTATCCAAAGCAAATTAAAATTAGAAACAGCTTTTTTCATAAAATAGAAGTGACAAACAAACTTACAGTCCACCTGATGGTAAGTGGCTGATGCAGTCCGTGGACTCCTGCAGCCTACTTCAAGAAGGCTACAGATGCGTTTTCACCCTTGAGGACTAAGATGGAATTCCTCACAGCCATTAATATTACTGGCTCTCTATACCCTTCAGACCCGATCACAGCAATGCAAGCACTGCTATTTAGCAGCAGAAATAGGTAAGAGGGTGCTATCAATCGAGAGGGACTCCAGGGCAGAAAAGTGGTAACTAACTAACCTAGTAACATTAGAATACAATTTAATTTTATTTGTGTAATAATAATAAAATATTATTATCTGGAAAACTTAGTATTAAATAAAAAAAAACTTTAAATCTAGTTTTAAGTTGGCAGCACTGCATGTCTCAAATTTTGTTGCCATCTTCAGTCGTATTTCATATACTAGGTTTATAGTCTTATTTGTTGGTGGCATGGAGGTTAAAGAACAGAAGAATGATCGCTACGTACTAAAGCATAGCCCGCCTGTCCTTGAAAATTGTAGAATTTATAGCGGCGCTGACGTCGGTGAGTAGTGACTGCGAAGTTAGCTGTTTATGAGTACAAGTAGATGAAGTTAGTTGAATAATGTACAAATTTTCTTCGCGGCATTGGTGAGAAAATTTTCATGCTCCGTAATTTTGTTATTTTTTTGTGCGTATATATATTATTATGCGTGATATACGTAATATTTTATTGTGCGTGAATGTGCAAGTGGTTTAGCATCTGATCGGAAAAATAGACTGAAAATGACTTTTATTGAGCGAACTTAACGATCGCAGCGCCTCACTTATGGTATCCATATTTCTGGGACACTATTTTCTACGGCGATCCTTCTCCTGTTCTCTAACCTCCATGTTGGTGACCATGAGATTTCACTGGCAATTACCACAGTCGACTCTACAATGTTCGTAGGGTCAGGACGATATAGTGATAAATTCTCATATGCCGCCAAAACTAAATATCATAATTATGAAAACCTATTATTTGATTTCAACTCAACATTTCTAGTTATCCTATTACCCAATTAGCGCCCGCTGTAAATTTCACAATACGCGAGCAAACCGGGTTCGATCCCCGCCGGCACCAATTAAATTGTTAATTGCAATTTTAAGTGCTGATTTATCACTTTACTTTATTTTTTTATTACCCAAAGCAACAACAACAACAATTGATGCAAAGCAACATAGAAATGCACATGTTCATACTTATTTTAATAAAACTTACCCGCTACTTTTGATGATCGTGTTAACCACAGGATAATTACATATAGAGGTAATGTTTGTATTAAATAGATAGATTTGGCAAGTATATATTGGACTAAGATAGACAACACTCGGAACTGAAAACAGAAATTAAATTTAGTATTAAAACAAAGGCAGTAAAAGGTGTGAGAGAATTATTCAATGTATGTATATAATATTTTTGTTTTTATTTGTGTAGGGTGGGGCGCTTGTTTGAGATGATGTAGAATGGAATTAATACTACAGTTTTTTAAGTAAGGTTTCTATGAATTAACTAGCAGTTTAGGGTTTTTCAATTGACGCGGGTAAATTTTGGCGGCCATTTTGTTTTCGTGACATTTCTATATCATCTTTTGATGATTATTCAGTTACTTATGTCAAATCACCATGGCAAGTTACACGATTGATCAGCACGTTCAAATGATAAAACTTTATTATCAATATGAGTGTTCGTTAGTGCAAACTTTGCGCGCATTGCGCCCGTTTTACGATAGACCCTTCACAGTCGACTCTTCAACGTTTGTTTGCTAAATTGAAACGACTGGTTCGGTAAACAATCTGCTAATCCCCATATGTTCAAGGAACGTAAGATCGACTGAGAACATCGTCGTGGTTCGTGAAAGTGTATAGCAGAACACGAGATAGTCGATTCCTCGCCGTGCACAAGAATTCGGCCTTTCGTAGACTGTAACTTTCCGAATTTTGCGTCGGGACTTAGGCCTATACCCGTACAAGATCCAACTAACTCAGGATCTCAAATTTCATGATCATAGAAAACGCCGTTTTTTCGCTGACTGGGCTTGGATGAGGTTGGATGAGGACCCAAATTTTGTTCGAAAAATCATCTTTAACGACGAGGCGCATTTTTGGATGAATCGTCACCGTCAATGGCGAGCACTACAGAACGATAATAACCTATATCTTATGGCCCAAATTGAACCATATGGGCCTAGACGACATGCGGTTCCAGAAGGACGGCGCTACGTGCCACACAGCGGACGCCATCAAGGTCATGCGATTTGACGTCGCTAGACTTTTTCTTATGGGGTTTCTTGAAGTCTATGCAAACAAACTACGAACGACCGGAGCCCTATGTAAACTTAACACAGACCATCGCCCAAATTCAGCCGGATCTATGCAGAAGAGTCATTGAAAATGAGACTACACGGATAAACGCCACTGTAAAAAGCCGAGGCGGCCATTTGAACAATGTCATATTCCACACTTTATGGCACATGCGGGTCTTTCAAATAAAAAAAGAATTTTGTTAATACCTCACACACCGCTTGTTGTATTTCATTTTAACATTTCCCCGCCCTTATTGAAAAACCCTTTAGTTCACCTGATGGTAAGTAAGTGGATACTATAGCCCATAAACTATCTATTATTATATTATAGAAAATATATTATAGAAAAATATATTATATACTATAGAATAAAATACAAATAAATTAAAAGTTACAGTATGTATTATGAATAAAATAGTTCAATTATTTCAATTTTATATTCAGTCGAGTTATCCATGGATAACTTAACTGATTATTGAAAAAGCCGACCGTTACACAATCTGAATTTTCTCGTCTGTTTTATGGTGCAGCGCTTATGTACATTATTTAATATATATAAATCTAAAAGGTACTAAACATTACTGGTGATTCGTTTATATATAATAAGTAGTGTTTAAAATTGTTTACTACAGCGATGCCGCGAATACTGAATTATAGATAGTATTATTCGACATTCGGCGAATAGTTGACTAAAATAATGAACAAAAAAACTTGACACTTAAAAATACTCAAACTTCAATGAAATAGGTTCAAGAAAAGGGTTGCCAGAATTTAAATTTGTAAAATCCGTATAATTTCTTTAACTTTATTGTTTTCCTTTCTCATAACCTTAGAAAATTTTTAAATTACAGTGCAAGTACAAGCGTAATGTTATTATTTGATAACAAATAAATTGTTTTAATATTCCTTTTTTTATGTCGAATAGTAATGGCGAGTTATTATACTCAACCGAATCTAAGAAATACCTTTTGACGTTTCACATTAATCAATCCGCAATAACATTGTACAAGCGTACATAAGTGATTTAAAATAACCTTTTACGTAAATCCAAAGAATTATGCAAGTTATCTATATTTCATTGTAATATGTACAGTTCTTTATCACTCATTAAAATTCGTATTTGTCCAACAAAGCAAAATATATTTTTTATCAGAATAAATTTTATGCTTTAAACAACGTCATGTTTTAATGACATGTCGTTATGCATCTTACCGTAGTGCATGGATGCTTAAAATTTATTATAATGCAAATAGTCGGTAAAAATATTTAAATAATTGAACCTTTACATTTTTAATTCATTGTTTGTTTATGTAATTTTTTTATTTTTAGACTTGAAAAAATTGTATCATGATTTAAACAAGTGTAATTCTTTATAACTTCTGTGAATCCTAATACGGCGAAGTTGCTATTAAGTTAAGAAGATGCCGGCATGTACAATGGTAGTATAGCGTGATTAAAAATCATTTGAAAAGGAATTGCTTCCGATACAAAAAAATTGACAAACGCAAAATAATTTCTTAAATTTAATTTATCGTAAAAAATAAAATAAAAATTAATGTATACAGTGATGATGACGACGACTTCATCTAGTTCTAGTGAAAGTGATTAAATAAATTTGTTTTTAACCTAGTGTCTCTTTGATTTATATAAGTAATTTTATTTGTAGAAATAAGCGATATGAAAACACTGATAAATTTTGTGTTTTATCTGTTTCTAATTTATTCCGGTATTAATTTAGATGAAACTGTAAATGTTTACCAACTCTAAAGAATTGATATCGATATCTCTTAAAAATCGAATGTTGTAGGTACCGATTTTTCAGTTAAAAGGTATTTTTTTAGATTTGGTGGAGTATAGACTATTCGCCATAGGGAGTGGCGATTAACCGGTATTCGACAATTTTTTTTATAGAATAGGGTGACAAACGAGCACACAGTCGACCTGATGGTAAGTGGTTGCTGCGGCCCATAGACATCTACATCTATCCTCGATTACGAATCAAAATGCAGATGCGTTGTCACTCGTGAGGACTAAGATGGAATGCCTCGATTCCAGTGAAAAGGGTCTCCGGTACTCTACACTCACCATACGAAACACAACAGCATTAAGCTACTATGTGACGCTGATATTCTGTGAGAACGTGGTCCTTCCCGGTCGGGCCGACCCATTTGTGCTACAACTATACTACTAATATAACTGCAGCATGGCTCTACCACGTATAAAACTATTCACGTAATAATTCCACGTAAACACGTATAATTCGCTATAACAACTATTCGGCATCTCTATTATTTACATAGTTAAGTAATTCACTTACCAAGGTGAACACTATATAATACATGATAGTTGTAGGCAACAACAATAACAAAATCGTAAATGCAACTGTGCCTACAAAAAGTTCTTGATTGGTATATTCACACGAATCTACACCACCTCTTAATGGATTATATTTTCTGCCTACAAACAGCCTGAGTAGTGCCGTTAGTCCCGATATTTGAATGTTAAATAGCCTGTAACAGTATTCTGTGTTATGATCATCTAAAACATATGCAATAACAACTTAGTAGTAAAATTAAATTTTTTTTACAATCGACTTCAATATAAATAAAATGAGATCATCAATGTAGTCGAAATCAATTAAATACGCATTATTAAACATAACTCAAAAACTACTACTACTAGTTAGTACGGACTACACGAGAAATATCGAATAAAAAAAGAATCATCAAAATCGATTCACCTATAAAAAAGTTCTGAGGTACCTAACACATAAAAAACATACAGTCGAATTGAGTATCTTTTTTTGAAGTCGGTTAATTTAGTTTACGACGGGCTGTTTTCCGCAACTCCACGTCTAAGCGCGTATTTTGCGTGTGGGCAGGAATACTATGGTTATTTGAGCCATGCCATTTAACACGTAAAAAACATACAGTCGAATTGAGTATCTTTTTTGAAGTCGGTTAAAAATGGGCTGCCTAGCGTGCCTGGTGTGTGAAATAGCAAACTACAAACTCTAATACTGAATCTAAACCCTGAGAGGTCTGTTTTTTGCCGTATTCATAAATATAATACCTTCTGTGTACTAAATATCGGGAATTTGTCAATAAAACAAAAAATACAAATTATTCATCTAAATTTATTTTATCGCCTTCAAAGTAGGCCCCATCGCTTGCACAACATCTCCAACGCTTCACCCAGTCCTCCATACATTTTTCATAGGCTATTTGCGGTATGGCCTTTAGCTCATTCAGCGAATTTTTGTTATGGCTTCTATCGACTCAAAACGTTTTCCTCGAAGTGGTAATTTTAACTTGGGAAATAAAAAAAAGTCAGACGGAGCCATATCAGGTGAATACGGTGCTTAGTCGGGAACTTTTGTTGAATTTTTCGCTAAAAACTCTTTCACTATAATGGCTGTATGTGATGGTGCATTATCATGGTGCAGCATCCATGAGTTGTGTTGCCACAAATCTGGACGTTTTCGGCGGATACTCTCACGCAAACGCTTCATGACGCCTAAATAATATTCTTTATTCACTGTTTCTCCCTTTGGAAGGAATTCGGAGTGAACCACACCACGGTAGTCAAAAAAAACTGTCAGCATCACCTTGATTTTGGAGCGACTTTGCCGCGGTTTTTTGGGTTTCGGCTCATTTTCGAGACGCCATTCTGAAGACTGTTGGCTTGTTTGCATGTCGTACTCATAACTATATTATTATACGTTTCATAAAGGTCGGATCCGTAGAAGCTCGGGAAACCATGTCTTCAGCGACATGCTTTCGCTACGCTCTTTGATTGAGCTCTTTTGGAACTAGTCGAGCGGCGACGCGTTTCATGCCTAAAATGTCAATGAGAATGTTGTGGACGGACTTAAAAGATATATTCACCTCACTAGCCAACTCTCTCAGACTCATACGTCGATTTTCGAACACTAGCTTCTTGATTCTTGGTGGGATGATGAGGTACGGGTGGAAGTTGAATCAAAGAAGAAAGCATGGTTAGATTTACTAGCAACCAAAGCTGGTAATTCTTCTGGTATGAATGATGAGATTGAAAGAAAAAAGGCAGAATTTAGACGTCTAAATAAGAGAGTAAAAGAAGTTGTTGAAAGGAAAAAGAAAGAAAGAATGGATAAGAATGATAGAAGGATATCTGATAATTTCCAGGCTAACATAAAAATGTTCTGGAAACTCGTAAGAACTGCCAGGGGAAATACAAAACAGCCTATAATAAATGCTATAAGAGACGAGAATGGATGTATTCTGAATGATGAAGTTTCGAATTTAAACAGATGGAAGGAATACTTTGAAAGCGTGTTTATGAGTGAAGAGTCGTATGAATTAAATGAACTAGAAATTCCGAAAGAAGTGGAAAGGGGTATGGAGATAAGTGTAGATGAAATAATGAAAGCAATGAAAAGCATGAAAGCAGGTAAGGCAGCTGGATATGATAGAGTATCACTCGAGATGCTAAGGGCTGGAGAGGGAGTGGTGGCAGGCCTGCTGTACACCTTGTTTAATTTATGTTGGGAATTAAAACGGGTACCGGATGACTGGTGTAAAGCTGTTATAGTACCAATATATAAAGGAAAAGGGTCACAGCAGGACTGCAAAAACTACCGCGGTATCAGCTTGCTTAGTATTGTGGGTAAACTGTATGCTAAGGTGTTAATTGAAAGAGTTATGAAAGAAACTAATGGAAAAATTTGGGATGTGCAAGCGGGTTTTAGAAAGGGAATGGGGTGCACAGATCAAGTCTTTTCCATGCGCATGATTGCGGAGAAGTTTTTGGCCAAAAACCAGAAAGTTTTTTGTGCGTTCATGGACTTGGAAAAGGCTTATGACAGAGTGGACAGGAATGTGTTATGGCAAACACTGAACTCATATGGGTTGAGCGCTGGTTTGATACAGGCATTAGGGTCTCTTTATAGGGACTCTAGTGCTTGTGTCAGGATCAATGGGGTCTACTCGGACTGGTTTGGCATCCAAAAAGGTGTCAGACAGGGCTGTGTAGCTTCCCCTTGGCTGTTCAACCTATTTATGGACCGGTGTTTGCAAACTTTGAAAGATGAAGAATGTGGTTTAAGAATGGGCGAGTTAACCGTCAAATGCCTTTTGTATGCCGATGATCAAGTCATATTTGCGTCATCAGCGGCTGAGTTGCAAATGATGGTTACATTAATGAACTGGGAATTAAAAGAAAGGGGAATGAAAGTGAACGCAAGTAAGACGAAAGTGATGGTTTTTGAAAGAGAAGAAAGCAAAACGGTATGTGAAATAAGAATAGAAGGAGAGTTAATTGAGCAAGTGGATGAGTTTGTGTATTTGGGATGTGTATTTAGCAGGGATGGTAGATATGATAGGGATATAGAACGACGAGTAAATGCAGGGAATAGAGTGAATGGGGCACTACACTCTATTATGAAGAACCAGAATGTGTCAAAACAGGCACGTATGGTAATTCATAATGCTGTGTTAGTCCCTACGTTAATGTATGGTAGTGAAAGCTGGGTGTGGCAGAAGAAGCACGAAAGTAGAATAAATGCTGTAGAAATGCGTTCTTTAAGAAATATGCTAGGGTTTAATCTGAATGACAGGGTGAGAAATTGCGTGATAAGAGATAAATGTGGTATGCAAGATGATGTTGTGACCAGGATTAAGAAAGGAATGCTTCGGTGGTTTGGTCACGTAGAAAGAATGAATGATGAAAGAGTGACAAAGCAAATTTATATGGCAGATGTGAACGGCCGAGTCGGGAAGGGACGCCCTAGAAAAAAGTTTGTCGACCAAATTGGCGATATTTTGAAAATGGGTCACGTTAGAAGTACCCTTAACCGACGAGCATGTATGCGTAGATATATGGATGTAAAGGAGGCGAAAGAGGTATGTCAGGATCGTGCCAAATGGAAGTCCGTAATCTCTGCCTACCCCTCTGGGTGACAGGCGTGAGTGTTTATGTTTTTATGTATGTAGCTTCTTGATTTTGTCGATGTTTTCTTTGATCGTAGCGGTTGAAGGTCTACCAGAACGAGGCAAATCTACTACTACTTCTCGGCCTACTTTAAAAGCCTTATACCATTCATAAGCCCTTGTTTTCGATATACACGATTCGCCGTAGGTATTTCGCAACATTTTAGTGATTCACCACATGAAATATCATTCGAAACACAAAATTTAAGGCACACTCTTTGTTCAACAATATTTTCCATTGTAAAAATCGCCGAGAACTCAAAACTATGACCAACAAAAAGTGTAGTTTAAAACAAATTAAATGACAGATCCCGCTCAAACTTTGCGCGCTAAATCAGTACAGTGCTACCAACATGCAGTAAAAAAATTAGAACGACCTCTTTTACGCGGGTCTTTTTATTGACATATTCCCGATACTTTTTACACAGAGTAGTACATTGTAAAATTACCTTGCAGCATATACATATATACAATATGAGTGGAATGTTGCTAAGCATATCATATCAGCTATTATGGCAGCTTGAAATGTGAATCCAAGGTAACCTACATATTTGTACAGATGTAATATAATGTCTAATTTTTCCCCTGACACGCCTGAAACAATTGATTATAAATATATACAGGCTTATTCTGCAAAGAATAGCTAAATTTTAAACTTAATTTCAAATATATAAATAATGATATATTGTTATTGCTGTTTTTGAAAACACAAGTAAATAAGGTTTATTTATTATATACTTAATTTAAAATATTTCATACCTAAAAATAGCCACCAAAGTTCAATGTGATAGGAAAAATATTTTCCAAGCATTTTGTTGAATGCATTATTCAATTTAAGGCCAGCTGGAGAACCCATCAACCATTTCAACAAAGAATACATTGAATTTACCAATTTCTGAAAAAAAAAAAACAATAAAAGTAAAGTTTATGTTTTTAAAAATACAGTGTAAACTCCATGTAACGTCAGTCCGTTTAATGAAAAAATACCTAAAGCGTTGAAATCACTCGTTGTGGTTATGACTTTGGTTGGTTTACCTTGTCTTTCATACAATTTCACTTTATATAGCACTACACCCACCCTCAATAACGACCACAATTAAATAAAAGTACTTTTTAAGTTGCAAAAATTAATAAAAACTGCACAGACATTCTTTTGTCGCTTTATTATCCTAGCCTGTAATAAACTTAACAGTCGGCATCATACATACCAAACACTCTAAGAAATCTGTTGTTTTGTTTACAAATTGGGATTGCTTGCGCGTGTAGGCTGTTGTTAGTAGGTGTCATGGATTATCTATACGTTATTATATTATTAGTTGCATAACATACATAACATATTATACGCAATAGCATTCAAATAACAATTGTTTTTATGTAATTACTAACACTGGACTAAAATTAACTTTTTCTTTATCTAGCACAAACTTTTTTCTTCCATTTAACGATACGTCTCCATAACGTCAAAATATGCAGTCCTTTGAGTGTCATTATATAGAGTTTACACTGCATATGCAATTTGTGCATTAAATTCTCAAGAAATTATTTTACCTCCAAAAATCCCATTAGAAGGTATCCCAGATCTTTTTTATCATGATCCTTTAAAAATAATTCTAAGATGAAATATCCAATCACAATATCCACTAGAATTGATAAAATTAAATTCCCTTCTTTCATTGAAACCTGGAAAAAATTGTAACTTAAGGGCACAGCATAAGAAGAGCATTCAATCAGTTATTATGTTTAATGTCGGAAGACCAATAAAAAAAAACAATAAAAATTTTGGGTTGTCACAATGGGAAATAATAAAAAATGGATTTTTATTCCATGTTTAAACAAATTGCATAACTTAATCAGAAAATTGGTGAAAAAAAATAATAAAAATAATTTATAAGTGAGCAGTTACAAGAAAATACATTACAAAAATAGTCAAATTTTGAATACAATATATAAGCAGTTTGTAGAGTATCTTTGAGTAAACAACCTGTTTTACACAATTTATTTATTTAAAAACATATTGAAATATAAGTGAAATCTTTCGAGTTGCATACACACAAGTTGAATAGACAAAGATGGCATACACTCAAAATTACGTTGAAGTAAGTTAATATTGCCATTTTCTCCATTTGGCGGGAAGAAGACTGCAAAGAAAATCTTAAAGTATCTAGTCTATGTCTAGTCTATAACTTTATGTCTGCCGTATTTTGACGGATATAAGTTTTTTTTTCACATATTGTATTATTTTAAGCCGTCTTTAAGGTGGTATTAATTATCTATATTTTTATAAAGATATTAATAGTTATTTTGCAACCATCCGTGAAATTAAATAAAATGATGTAGTTAGAAGTAGTTTGAAGAGCACCTCCCGCCCTCTCTCAATTGCATGCACTAATCCCGTCACCACCAATCCCAGCACCACTACTCCCAACGCCACTACTCCCAACACCACTATTCTAGGAAAGACACACCATCGACGATAACATTATTTTATTTAATTTAGCGGATGGTTGCAAAATAACTATTAATATTTTAATTATAATGGATTTCTGCAAAGTAACGCCTGATTCTATCAACTATATTATTTTTTACATTAACTCAACTAACTTATCGGTATTATATCAAAACATATTTACAAAAAATGAGCAGCTGATAAATATTTTCGATTTTTTGAACTTACCACACGCATAGTGTAAGCCATATAATTTATTTTAAAAGAAGTTCCCGAACAACTGATAACCAATTTGATGATGATGATAACCGATTTTTTTTGTTCAACAATCAAAAATCACACTCTTAATCTCATGGATGTTAGACGGGCGATGAAGCTGCAGTCATCAGCAGATTTGACAGCATACAGGCAACTGAACAGACATCTCCAAACGCATGCAGCGTGACTTATGCAACTTCAATACAGCTCGTATTGAAGAAGCGATTGAGCGGACCAGGGCTCCAAAGTCTGCCAGAGATCTGTCTGCCAGTAAGAGCAACTGTCAAGACTGAAGACTATGTGTACCAGCATCATTTCTGGGACACCTGAGATTCTGAGTGAGATTGAGAGGTTCTATGGGCAGCTGTACACATCATCCCACCACATGTTGAAACCACATGCAAGCGTGAGTAACGATCCAAGAGCAAGTCTTATCCGACACTATTCCGATGATATCCCGGAGTCAGATGATATGATGATATCCGTCAGTCAGAGCGAGATTAGAACGGCTCTCCAGCACCTTAAAAACGGCATGTCCCCGGGCGAGGATGGAATTACAGCGGAGCTTCTGAACCGGGTCACCCGTGTAAAGTATACATCTGAGCTATGTGACAAGATTGCTCACTTATAAAGGCTTTCAGTGCCAGTTTCGATACTCATTGGGTGACTAGGCGTTGATCACTTGCAGAGGTTTTAAATTATTCTTTATTGTATAAGTTTTCATTATCTATTAAACTATGCATCCAAATAACATATTATAAAAAACAAAGTTTATCTTCATAAAATAGTCTTAATGATGAAGTAACTTTCATTCGTGAGGGATAATATGCCATGTGTAATAATAAGGCTCATATATAACCTTCTATTTTCAATGTTTTTGTCACATAATATCTTATTGTAGCATATGTATAAGGAATAGGCCTATGGTAAAGCAGACATTTTTTTTAGATGGATGAAAAATTTATATTTTTGAAGAACATTGTACTTACATATCACTAACCATTATGCCAGCTCACACAGATAAAGCAGTTTGGAAGTGCTTTTACTTCCAACTTGCTAACCAAAAACCAATGTTTAAGACTTGCTGAGAAGTGTAGCCTAATGCCATCTTATACAAAAAAAAATTTAACAAAACAGACTGGTAGTTCCAGAGATGAGCTTATTTAAACAAACAAATAACCTGTTAGGCTTTATTAAAAGTATAGAATCTATCTCATTCTCCCACAGTCTAAATCATATTGTTGTAACAGGCTATATCATAAAGGCTAATCATATGTTTGTCTCTTTTTAATTTCATTGTGTTTTAAATCACAACAATACTAAAGAAGTTTCATTTCCAAAACAAATTTTCATATTACTTACTTTTCTATTGCGTCCAATGGAGAATATAAGCCAAATTAACATATTCAAATAATTGCACATATGTTGGATAAACATAGAAGAAACAAGCCAAGACGGATTTCTAAATGTTGGTACATAAATTGCTCCATAGTATTCTTCTTTATGATCACTTCTCACCAGAATTTGCAACTTGGAAATAAAGTCACTACACTCATTTAGTGTTTCAGAATTTCTGATGACATTGTGGTCATATAAAATAATTATATATCTATCATAAAAATTAATAGGTTTTCCATTTACACTTATTTCTAGTACTTGAGGATGCAATTGATTGCACAAAACTAAGAAATTTTCTGGCCTTTTGCATTTCCCTTTTACTTCCGAATTATTACTACAGTAACCATATATAAAATCATCTCCCTTGTTTTCTTTTAAAAATATATCACGAGTTGAATACTTGGTAACATAAATTGTAATCAAATTGTCATCACATATTTTAATATAGCCTTTGAAATAAATATCTGCCACAACATTTTGAATTATTGGAAACAATATACGAATCGACATGTTCTAATCAACCATTCTATTGATAAAACAAAAAAAGCGAAATAAAATAAACCCAGAAACTCGTTTGTAAACAAAAGCATAGATAAATAAATATGTTAAATAAATATGTAGCAAGCTACAGATACGACAGTGACTTTTTAGTCAAGTTTCCCAACTACGCGTTTTGGCGCTGCAGTCGCCCAATTTGACAGATGAGTAATGACTATACAATTTAGTATAGCTATGTATAGCTTAGGGATTGCAAGCACACATCCTTCAAACTATCGATATCGATGTTTAGTGGTGTTCTTATTTTATCGATATCGACATAAGTGCATTATACGGGAATAATAATACTTAATGAAACAATTATAATACATCTAACTTATTTATTTTTTATTCAAGCACACCAACATCATATACATACAAACGTAATCTTAGGATTAAATTAAAGGCACATTAAGTTATATAAACAAATTAGAAAATTGTGCATAACATTTTACATAAATAAGTACAATTTGACGAGAAACAGAGCAATATTTATAATTCATTAAATAAAGCAAATTAAACCACAGGAATAATTTAGGTGCTTAATATTTTACTTTTCAAGTTACTTTTTATTAGAAGCAATGCTATTTATTTTTCATCTGGGGTACCACCTGGCCATTCTTTACAAAAATTAAAAAAAAACATCTTCTCTTCTTTAATTTTATTTTCTACACCACGTAACCTGAAAGAAATAAATAAAAATAAAGTCCAATATACATATTTTATGACTTAATGATAATCATAAACTATATATTATTTACATTAAGGAAACAAAGGGTGGCTTCATGGCAGTTGGCATTTTTTATCAGTCAACCCATGGTGTGGTGAAAATAAAGTGGTAGATGCAGTAAATAAGAAATAAAAAACATATAAATATTAACATGGCATACATCTATTATCAGGAGCTTTCTCAATGTCTTCAGGCATGGAGTTCCAAATAAGTGTAACCTTAATACTAAAGGAGTTGTTGATAAAACCATTGAAGTGTAGTGGAACTGTAATCTTTAGATTAGATAAAGAACAAAGAACTCTTATCATGATTTGAGGATAGATATGCTGAATATAGATATAATGGATATGTTATCTTACCTAATTATATCTAAGAATAAACTGAATTTATCATACCTTTATGCCAATGTGTACATTTTGTTATCTTCTCAACATTTGCCACACCACATCAGCATTAGATTTCTATTCCTGAAAACAAACAATATTTGTGAATTTTATGTTCTTCACCGCCGAGCATGTGGTAAATCAGCACTTAAAATTGCAATTAACAATTTCATTGGTGCCGGCGGGGATCGAACCCGGGTTACTCGCGTTCTGTTATATTTACAGCGAGCGTTAACCACTGAGCTACCACGGCTCACTTCTTGAATGTTCTTATACATAAACCCAAAATTAAAGAATAAATATATAATGTTATACTTCTGTATTGTATGTATTAATGCTGTATGGCTACTTTTAATAACAGTTTAGTATAATCGTAATTAAAAGTGATCTATATTATCATATAACTAAGTTATATGGCAATTGTATGTGGTAGAGCCATGCTGCAGGTATATTACTGGTATAAACAATTTGTTATTTAGAATTTTATTATAGCTAGTTGTGTAATTTAATTCCCTTTATAATTTTGATTAATTATGATCAATATAGTGTAATCATACTTTAAATTAATGCCAAATGTAACACTTAACTCACAATAAATATATTGAACTTATTTAAGAATATTTTGACTTCAACCTTTTGTAATTAAACTATTAATAGCTTATGTACCTACATCTTAAAGCTAGACTAATATTATTTCATGAAGACTGCTATATAGCTAGTTTTGTTGTTAAATACAAGTACTTACTATAACTAAGATTAAACCAAAAATATACTAAATATATCTTTTTATATCAATCCTACATAAGTTTTAATAGGTATAAAAAGGTAATTATAATTATCTCAACCCACCAAAGAGCTAGATAGAAAAACAAATTTATAAAAAAGTAATTTCTAACAAATCATTTACTCTGATTCGTACTGCTAACTCGAGTTGCATGAATTTCGACTCGAGTTAAATCAATTCGTAATTTTTCCAAGTTGGCACATCTATAAGATCAGAATTCCTAATATTCACTTCACTTAGTTGTTGTATTAACTTTCATTAATCGTTTCACCATATCGTTTCATTATCAACCACAGCTTTTTTGGTGATTTTTTACTGATCCTGCATTTATATATTTAAGTAATTATAGTGAAAAATAGCCTGTAACTAAAAAAATAAAAATAGTGCAAAATCACCTGTTACAGTGCAGCCAATAGATAATCTCACTTTTACTTATTCTACAATAACTCAGTTCCTACATTGACAAATCTTGCGAGATTTTCAGCTATGAATTGTCTATATAGTATATGCTTACAAATGGTATAATTGGGCCCAAGAATGTATAGAGACGTGTCCTTCTCCTTTGAGTACCATGGTTGAAAGTAATAAAAAGACTCACCTGTTGCAGTCAAAGGCACACCATGAGCTATTTCATTGTCAGTAAGCAAGGACGAGTAAGAGTATCAAAGTCTTCTGCCTTCATTGTCGAACTGAAATATATCAAAATGTTTTTCACAGACACGTTTGTTAAGTAACTGTTCTTTGGAAAGTACAATGAGCTGGGGATTTGTCGGCACTATGAAAGACATCCACAAGTTTCTTAAATTATCATTCCTAGAGTTCCTGAAAAGCCGGTGCGTGCGTTTCACGTGTTTTATTGCAACCACCAATACACATATACCTGTATACCTTCCTGTATATATTTATTATACTCTTTGCCAATACAACAGTTTTCGCATACCATTATGATGGTATATGCAATGTTCACACGAGCAACACAAAAACAGAATATTGTAATAATTGAGGAAAATTTGGATAAATAATGGCGGCAATCAATATCGATAATTTTGATTTTTGACAATATGATTTGACATTAACACAATATGGCGTCTCAAAATGGCGTCCGTAGACAGAGAACAAATTGCGACGGTAGCGCCAAGTTGCGTAGAATGGAACTAAGCTGTTACAGATACGACAGCGACTTTTAGTCAAGTTTCCCAACTACGCCTTTTGGCGCTGCAGTCGCCCAATTTGTTAGTATAGCTTAGGGATTGCAAGCACACAGCCTTCTAATTATCGATATCGATGTTTAGTGGTGTTCTTATTTTGTCGATATCGACATAAGTGCATTATACAGGAATAATAATACTTAATGAAACAATTATAATACATCTAACTTATTTATTTTTTAATCAAGCACACCAACATCATATACATACAAACGTAATCTTAGGATTAAATTAAAGGCACTTTAAGTCATATATACAAATTAGAAGATTGTACATAACATTTTACATAAATAAGTACAATTTGACGAAACAGAGCAATATTTACAGTTCATTAAATAAAGCAAATTAAACCACAGGAATCATATTTAAGTGCTTAATATTATACTTTCAAGTCATTTTTTATTAGAAGCAATGCTATTTATTTTTCATTAGGGGTAAACCTGGGAATTCTTTTACAAAAATTAAAAAACATCTCTTCTTTAATTTCATTTTCTACACCACGTAACCTGAAAAGAAATAAATAAAAATAAAGTTCAATATTCATATTTTATGACTTAATGATAATCATAAATTGTATATTATTTATATTAAGGTAACCTAAAACTTTTATACTTCTTTAAGGCCAATTTTTGGGGTTCACCCATTTTAGATACATATTTTTCATCGATATCACCCTTCAATATTTTATTATTTATGTTGCACCAATTTTGTCCATGTAATCTAATTAAAATATTGACGAAAAAGTTTTTGACAATTAAGGCATGCTTATCACACCCTAGGCAGGACAAACTTAAAGTGCTCAATAAATTTCTTTTCAAATTACTTTTTATATTACTTCCAATACAGCTATAATTCAAATAGTTATGAATAAAGTGAGTGCCATCCCTGTACAAGATAAGGAATTTTTCGTTAGGGTATGCCAAATTATTATTTTTTAACAATTTATACTCTCTAAATTTAATGTAAGAGTGAATGTTTGTCTCTGTACTGCTAATATATGTTTTGATGCAATCCTTACAACGAATCGCTTTCGTTATTTTCCGACAAACGTATCCAGCAGTATAAGCTGAGCAGTGGACTTTAATTTTTTCCATGACTACATCATTCACTAGCAATTTTTCTCCTGAACTTGCTTGTGAAGAAGATGGGAGATCTCGCAAAACACTGGTAGTGTTTTCCGAGTCATTTTCTTTATTATTATGAAGGTTTTTAAAAAGAACACTAACATTTAATAATGTTTCTCCATTATCCTCTTCACAATTACAGAATTTGGAATGTGGACTAAGCATGTTAGATAATATCAAAGATTTAAAGGCATATATAAATGTGTTTGCATCTGGGTTAACATTTCTATAATTTACAGCTCTTATACGTCCAAAAAAATTCTCTAATGGGTCTTGATTAATAGTCCTCGGATAATAATATTCTACATTATACTGTTCAAATAATAATTTGGAGACCCTTATAAAACTTTCAAGAGTTGTAACCCATCCTTGTTGGGATGGCACTCGCACAAGTCGAGGTTTTCCTGCTTTTGTAGCATGTTTGCTACTGGTGTCCACAAAAACCATTTTTTTTATTTTATTAATGGCCTCAATCCAAAAAGTGTGATGTTGTGAATTTTGTTTAACCGCTCGTCTTAACTTTCTCTTTGCACACCACCCGGGTAGCCATTGACGCTGTCAAACAGTGTGTCAAAGAATTCAACAACTTCTGCTGTTGTGGCCATTGTTGCGTCAGAGTTTGCAGTATGAAAATAATCTGAAAAAAAAAGTACTTCTTAATTTAATTTCTTTTACAGTTGGACCTGCAAATCGTTAGCCAAGACACTTCTTATTTGGTTACAACAACAGACTTTTTTTAACCATTTTTTTACAAATTGATTTTTTTACATGAAATTTTACAATAGTATATACATAAATTGAATAAGCCTACAAATCAATATAGCAATCGTTACTTACTGAGTGCATTTGTATATTTGAGCATAGCAGCAGTTCGAGCACTAAATACTTGAGCAGCTACGCTGACCTTCATTTTTTTGATCTTTTTGCGATCAACATGATGAGCTGTTAACTTTGGTAGTGCCCTTGTGTGTCCCAATTTGCTATCCAAATCAAAAATGAACTCAATATCTTTCCAAGAGGCGGTTTTTTCTTCCCAAATTATATCTTTATTTAAAAAATTATTTCTTAAACCCTTTAAGAGATGAGGTGGGTCAAAAAATATGCTTAAATGGTGATCAGCAATATTAACTGATCCATCTGTAAAATAATTAAAATAAATAATATTTGTCATGAAGTAGAACTGGTTTTTAAGTAATTAAGAATGGTACACACCATCATGAACACCTTGAATATTCCGCCTACGAATTGTATCTTCCCTAAGTTTTCTTATTGCTGTTCGAAATGTGGACCCTTGATCACAAACAACACCTAAAGGTATTAACCCAGTTTGTATTACTTGGGGCACAATCTGCTTTAAAATGCATTGCAGCTCTGCTGCTGATACTGTGCCTTCACAGAAATAAAATGCTACACTCTGTCTCCATGGAGAGCATATTCCTCTTAGCATAAAAACTAAAGCATGATCACAATATTTTAGTTTTCTCTCTCCAGCTATATCTACAAACCCATTAATTATATCATCTTTCTCATTAAAAGTTAAATGTGGTGTCAGAGAGACTTCATCAAAAACTATTGTGCATAGCTTTTGTTTAGTGTCCCATTTTTTTGTTGTATTTGATATATGTTCAAATATTAATGGATTGAGTCCTGCTTGTATTGAAACCTTCTCAGAAAGTCTATTTAATGTCCGTTTACTAGGCAAGGCAAACATTCTTTCTAATAGTTTATAACTTTTGGGGCTTTGTTTCATTATGAGCAATGCCATTAATTTTTCATCTAAGGTAAACCTTCTGGCCATTTTGCTTTTATGAATTTGTTTTAATTGCATAAACAAGAAAGTCTGAGCTTGTTTGTTTAACAAATAAAAGTTTTCCAAAAGGTCTTTATTTCTTGACAGGGATTGGGCTTGATCAAGTCGTTGTGATACTGAGTCACTTAAACTTTCAGTTGCAATATTTAGTCAAAAATTTTACCAATTTTCTTTTCCTTGATACTATTTTCTTCGCCATGTAACCTGAAGTGAAATAAATAAAATAATTAAATTCTATATTCATATTTTATGACTGAATGATACACTTAAAATTATTAATTTTTTATTTATATATTTTTATTTTAATCTTTTAATGTATTCACTTTGATAAGATAACAAATAAAGTGGATGTCATCAGGGGAAGAGTTCCAGAAAAATGTAACCTTAACAGTAAAGGACTTGTTGATAAAACCATTGAAGTGTAGTGGAACTGTAATATTGGGATTAGGTGAAGAACAAAAAACTCTTATTGTGATTTGAGGTAGATATTGAAACTTTTTCTAATTATGTCTAACAATAAACTGAATTTATCACACCTGTTTGCTTTTTTGTACATGCTTTTTTGTAGTATTAGAATCAATTCCTGAAAAGAAGCAATAGTTATGAATGTTATGGTCTTAAACATAAATTAAATTTACAATGTATGCTTCTCTGTATTGTATGTCTAAATTAAATACACATAACCATCCTCTAGAACTGATGCAGTTCCAGGTATGCAGTGACACCTCCAGTTCACAGCCTGTTTTTAAGCATTTAAAGTATTTTTTCTATTACCTGATATATAAGTACTTCTTTTAATTTGATCCCTAAATAAATGTATAAAAAATTATGTCCAATACAATTTCCCATACCTTTATTTTCAACAACTGTTGCAACAGTTGAAAAATTTGAACATGAAGGCTGTTCATGAGAATTTCCAACATCTGAAATTTGTTACAAGATTGCATTTTTATAGATGTCAGTATGATTAGGCAAACACATTATTAGAAAATGAATGGTTAGTAAATTTATGAAATAGTTAGAAAGATTTTTTTTGCTACTTAGTAACTAGTGCTACATGAATATTAGTACACACCTGACGATCCAATTTCTACCGATGATTTGGAACAATCATTTTGCTCTTTGTAGTAATTGTGTTCAATCGTAACATCACTTCCTGAAAACATTATTCAAAATGTTGAAAAATTTGCCACTGACTGTAATTTAAATAAAATATTTTTAGAAATCAGTGTTCATCATAATATGTTTACTATGATTTACAATTAACATCAATTAAGATATTTGTACATACCAGGCTTTCTAACCACTAACACAGCTTCTGTGAAATCATCTTCATTGTGCTCTTTACAGTAATTATGTTCAGTTGTGACATCCCATCCTGAAAAAATTACATAATCATAGCAAATAATGATGTAGAGTCAATGACACTTACAAATGGTCGTACTTTTATCTTGTTAATACTTGGGCCCAAGAATGTATAGAGACGTCTCCTTCTCTTTTAAGTACCATGGTTGAAAGTAATAAAATAACTCACCAGTTGCAGTCAGAGGCACACCATGAGCTATTTCATTGTCAGTAAGCAAGGACGGGTAAGAGTATCGAAGTCTTCTGCCTTCATTGCCGAACTGAAATACATCAAAATGTTTTTCACAGACACGTTTGTTAAGTAACTGTTCTTTGGAAAGTACAATGAGCTGTGAATTTGTCGGCACTATGAAAGCCATCCACAAGTTCCTTAAATTATCGTTCCTAGGGAATCTGAAAAGCCGGTGCGTTTCGCGTGTTGTATTGCAACCACCAACACAACACTTTTCGTATACCATTATGATGATATATGCAATATTCACACGAGCAGCACAAAAACAGAATATTGTAATAATTGAGAAAAATTTAGATAAATAATGGCGGCAATCAATATCGATAGTTTTGACAATATATTTATAGTATTGACATCATAGATTACTGCCTATATACTAGAGATAGATGAGCAACTCAAGTTTTATTTACGTTAAGTTCCGTGCCCAACCGTCAGGTGGCGTAAAATTAAGAGTGCTTTGGGCCCGCCCTTTATTTGCACTTTACAATTTTATATGTTCAGAACCATTAATTACATTGCACAAGTGCTGCAATGTAATTAATGGTTCTTTATATTTCTTGTGCTAATTGCTAGTTCCTATTAATAAAATAAAAACCGGATATATTTAAAATGTTTATTGTTTAAAAATTTCTTGCCTAAATTAATAACATTAGATGTGTTAAATTTAACAATATTTGCACAATATCAATTGATTTCTTTAAACACATTCTTTTTAACTGGTTAGTTAAGTTAGGAAATATATTATGTTACAGAGATTACAATACAATAGAATTATTATTATTAAATATAGATTATTACAATACTTATTGAAAGTCATGTTTTATTTACTACATATACCTCTGTCCTGGGAAGAACCAACAAGAAACCCAGCGGGACGTTTTTTTAAAACATATTTCACTTTACAATCATTTTGTTTATACATTTTTTAAATAAATTTTAATAGTACAGGCATGGTGGCGATCACCTCAATCACAGGGGTTATTATTGATGTATTTTTTGATATTATAATAACACTTTTTGTACATTTTTCCTTAAATAAAACATTTCAACTTATTTATTGACAAATTTTGTAAATTTTCTGAAATTTTGTTTTAAAAGCGTATATGTTGCCCCATAAAAGCACTACTGACTCAGTGGAGTCTAGTAACTGGTGTTACAAGCTTATGTTTGTTCTTAGATTTTAAAGTATAAACATCTTTATTCTTATGAAAGCTTTTTATGTTTTTATGTACATACATTATATATATATATATATATATATATATATATATTAATATATATATATTAATATATATATATATATATATATATATATATATATATATATATATATATATATATATATATATATATATATATATATATATATATATAATATATATTATATATATATATATATTATATATATATATATATATATATATATATATATATATATATATATATTAATATATATATATATAATATATGTACAACAATACATACATTATTGTACATACATTATTGCTATGCCAAAGTTAATATATTTATTTCATTAAATTTTTCTCTACGCGACTTTTACAATTTAAGATATAAATTGAACGTACGGCTCTCTTTTATAAAACAAATACGGCTTCAATGTCTAATACTAAGAAAAACTGTGGTATCCACAAGACTCAACTACTTCCCATTTAAGAGCACATTGATAATTGAATCCTCTCCAAAGGTTTGCTTCTTTTCCATAATTTCAAGAATTGGTATCAATTAATTGTTAATAGTGGTACATCTTTAACTTAATATAAAAAGATACATTTTGTAGCAGCATTATTAATCTTTAAAATATGTACTTGATAACGTTATCATATTTTGGTAACAAAACTTTTTTTTAAATGTGTGTAATAACTATACTTTTAAAAATACAAACAATTTACAAAAGTGACTTTCTTATGCCCACTATACCATTGTAAATGTGTAAATCAATATATTTTTTTTTACAAAATCAGCATTTTATATATGTATTATAACATACTCATACATAATACAACCTCACAAACCATTTGCGAAACTATAATCAATCTAATAAATTGTGGAAGATACCATATAATCACATAGAGCAACAAAAATAATACTAAGAAATAATATTTCAATAAAACTGATATCATTGACTATGCACACCCACATATTCCTGAATGTGCAGTTAGCACAGTATAATATGAATATCGTGGAAGATGGTACAATTTCGAAGACAAATTGTTTGGCCACGTCGATAAAAACAAAAAAAGCCTTAAAAGATATATATTCTTAGGTAAATTGTTCACTTTACTCAAGATTTGCTAGTGTTCTCCTCACTACATTACAATGCAAATGTCATAGGTTTTGAAGACTGAGGATGTTAAGAGTGAAAATATGATGAACATGTTTTGGTTTGATGATAAAGGAGATAAAGTTCATACTAAGCTTTCAACTAGTTATGGATTTTGCAAAAATGCTACGATGGCAGTAATTAAAAAATATATATAATAAAAGATTTATAACAAACATGATTAAATGGTGTCTATGATCAATTTACAATTAACACCAAAGTAAGCAATAATTAAGTTAATAGGACAAAGACAGCAAGAATGCTTTTGAAATTTAAAATAAAAAATAATTCTCTTTATTTGATACTTACACTTATCGAAAGGGGAAATTTTATTTCAAAAGAATTAAGATTTATACGCATGACGTAGTAAACTGCTAAATGGGAGCATTTATAATTGCTCTTAGATAGTGATGTGGGAGAAAATGAACTACTGGATGATGCATAAGTAAGCTGACATATACCTAAGTGTAACCTGATAAAATACCTAAAATTAGGAGTAAAGCACGAATTTTAACCAACGTGTATTAGGTTGTCTTTGACTTTGTGCAAATAAGTCTTTACATATTAATAATTAATGTTCAATAAATAATTGTCTTTAACAACTTTGTTTTGATTTTATTTTCTAAACATTTTTAATTATCCCAAGAGAGCAAAGATACTTCATAGCAAGTATATTGTCCAAAGTCCGCCACGTGCCACGTCCGCCATTTTGTTTTGGTTTCTTTCGAACCACACTAATACTGTCTACTTCATCATTCGACCCGCCATGCCTTTAGTCGTCACTTTTCGCGCACTCAGTATTCAAATAACCCCCTGAGTTTAACAGAAGTCCGTTATTTCAATTTTACGTACAGACAAACACTTCAATTACACGAGTATGAATAAATTTAAAATGGTCTACTTAGAATAATAACTGTTACAACTTAACAAGCGTGGCAACATGGCAAAATCCCCCCCCCCCCCCCCTATGAGGCTATTGGGGAGGCCTATGTTCAGCAATGGACTTTTATAAGCAGCAATGGAAAAACCTGTATTAGATCTATCGCCGTGCAAGGTGTTATGCTCGGGGAGCGGCCAATGCTACGTGTGCTAATTCGGGGCTCTTATAATAACTTCTGTTAGTCAGTTTTGTTTGATTTTGTTTAATTCCTTTAATCAAAGATTTTATAAAAAGTGTCTAAAACATAACTCGGAACGTATATGCTGTGAAACAAAGTTTTACCTATTACAATGAGATTTCAGGAAGTTAAAAAAGAGATGGAAGTTGAATGAAGAAATTGTTAGCAAGATGCTAATAATATATTATAAAATCTGGATTATTTACTGGTAAAAATGACCTCCACTCCAAACGAAGAGGTAGTAAATAGAAGGTATTTTACCGCTCACATTTTGGCAGTTAGCAAATTGTCAGAGATTGAAAACTAAAATATTTTTATTTAACGAGTTATAAAAAGATGAAAATTAATGCAGGTATGTAAATAATGTAATAATTGTAATAATGACATTTGTAAGACAACCCCACACCAAGCAAATACATCAAATTTGTAATGTTTCAAGAAAAACACTTTTGCGACTTTCAGAAAACTTTTCATGTGTTGGAGATTATAAGAAAAATAATTAAAAAACATTTGACCAATGATTTCCCCCGAAATGGGATATTTGAAATCATTGTTAATAAATAGCAAATTTCAATTTTTAACATGACATAAACATAAAAAAGTAAGGAGGTATTTTATAAAACAAATTTAACATAACATAACATGACACGCAACGCGCACGCGCACGCGCACGCACACGCACACACGCACGCGCACGCGCACGCGCACGCGACACACACCACACACACACACACACACACACACACACACACACACACACACACACACACACACACACACACACACACACACACACACACACACACACACACACACACACACACACACACACACACACACACACACACACACACACACACACACACACACACACAGCGAGAGAGAGAGATATCACTTATTATGTCTATAAAATTTTATGATTTCTTTATACAAAAAATTAAATTAATTTAAACAATACAACTATGTATTCCTCATCAACAGGGGAGATGGGACTGTTCTCCTAAATACAGGTTACTAAGTAAACCTAGCTAGGAGAAGCAGGTTTCTACCCATTTCAAATTGGTACTCATAATGTATTGTATATATTTGTAAAAAGTATGTGAACTATGAAAATGTCAGTAATGAATTATTATTATTATTTTTGGGGTATCTGTATAGTTTTCTCATCTGGTTGGTTTCTATAAATATATAATTATAAATTAAAATGAAAAGATAAATATACATAAATATCAATAAAATAAAATAAATACAAAAATACACAAATACATAAAGATCCAACCAGATGGAAGCCCTCGGCAGGGGAGACCAAACGGCCGAGGGTTAGGGGGAAAGGGGAAGAAACCGACGGACGATGCGGGCGGTATCGAGGACCACTGCCTTCTGCATTTGAGCCCGGAGCGGTCCGTCACGGAGTCCCAGTCGCCTCAGATAACCCGAGAGGCTGACTGGGATTAGCCCATTCGCAGAGACGACTACAGGAATAATTGCGGTCGGCCAACCACCCCACATGTCGGTCACCTCGTGAGCCAGGTCCAGATATTTTGTTCGCTTATCTGTTTTGGCTTTCACGAGGTTCTCGTCATACGGAATGGTAATGTCGACCAAAAATATCCTTGACTGTGCCCGGTCCATCAGCACAATATCAGGCTTATTCGCAAGAATAGTCCTGTCTGTGATGATGGCCCGGTCCCAGTAGAGCCCGACGCGGTCATTTTCGAGCACGGCTTCCGGCAAGTACTTGTAATACGGCAATTTCCGGTCCACGAG